TACTCTTGTCGCCTGACCTTCTTGTTAAATGCCCTGATCATCCGTTTTTGGTACGTCTGACCATGACAAATAGCGGTGAGTCTCTTTTCGTCAATTAGGTTTAATTGATCAAGCCGAGTCTGGATCCAGTCATCTTCGCTCAAACCTGCATCCTTCATTATCCGGAGAGAGGGTATCTGGACTTCAATAGGAAAGACTGCCTCCATGCCATAGACCAAGGAAAAGGGAGTTGCCCCTGTTGACGTCCGTGCTGAGGTGCGGTACCCATGAAAAGCAAACGGTAACATTTCGTGCCAATCTTTGTAGGTCACTGTCATCTTCTGCACAATCTTCTTGATATTCTTATTCGCTGCTTCTACAGCTCCATTTATCTTCGGTCGATAGGGAGAAGAGTTGTGGTGTTGTATCTTGAATTGCTCGCAGAGCTCAGTAATCATCTTGTTATTGAGATTGGTACCATTATCTGTAATGATCCTCTCAGGTACACCGTATCGACAAATCAGGTTATGCCGAATGAACCGTGCCACAACGTTCTTGGTTACGGTAGCGTAGGAAGCTGCTTCAACCCATTTTGTGAAGTAATCAATCGCTACCAGGATGAAGCGGTGCCCGTTGGATGCCGTAGGTCTGATTTCGCCGATCATATCAATGCCCCACATTGCAAAAGGCCAAGGTGTTGTCAAGACGTTCAGAGGAACCGGAGGAATGTGCACCTTATCAGCATAGATCTGGTATTTATGACAAGTTCGAGAATGCTGATAACAGTCGGCTTCCATTGTGGACCAGAAATATCCTGCCCGAAGAATTTTCTTTGCCATGGTATGTCCACTGGAATGTGTTCCGAAGGTACCTTCATGTAGCTCTGCCATGATCCTTTCTGCTTCAGTCTTATCCACACAACGCAGTAAGGTTGAATCATGGTTTCGCTTGTAGAGAATGCCATTGCTGAGGAAGAACTTTGCCGCAAACCTTCTCAGGAACTTCTTGTCATTAACAGATGCACCTTCGGGGTATTCTTGAGATTCAAGGTACCTCTTCACTTCATGATACCAGGGTTTTTCTGTTACCTCTTCGGTATCGAGATCGCAGCAATGTGCAGGTTCATCCAACTTCCAAATAATGATCCGGGGCGCCTCGTTGTCCCATTTGACTTTGAACATAAAAGACATCATAGCCAACGCGTCCGCTAATTGATTCTCCTCTCTTGGGAAGTGTTCAAAAGTTATCTCCTTAAAGTGGGGAATCAACGTCAGCACATACTTCTTGTAAGGAATAAGATTTGGGTGTTTCATATCCCACTCGCCTTTGATCTGATTGATCACGAGAGCGGAATCTCCGAAGACACTCAGAAACTTGATCCTTAAGTCAATTGCAGCTCGAAGACCCATGATACATGCTTCATACTCTGCCATGTTGTTGGTGCAGTTGAAACATAGCCGAGCAGTGAGTGGAGTATGAGTGCCTTTAGGGGATATGATCACAGCGCCGATACCGTTACCCAAAGTGTTCGAGGCTCCGTCAAAGTGCATAGACCATCGGGATCCTTCTTCAGATCCTTCATCCGGTCCAGGTACTTCACAATCAGTCACTACCATGATATCCTCGTCTGGAAATTCAAAGTTCATCGACTGGTAATCGTCCACTGCCTGATGTGCCAAATGGTCTGCCAATACACTTCCCTTGATTGCTTTTTGAGTCGTGTACTGGATGTCGTATTCCGTCAAGATCATCTGCCATCTTGCTATTCTTCCAGACAAGGCAGGCTTTTCGAAGATGTACTTGATTGGATCCATTTTGGAAATTAACAGAGTAGTGTGAGTCAACATATACTGTCTCAGCCGACGAGCAGCCCATACCAAAGCGCAGCAAGTTTTCTCGAGCAGTGAGTATCGGGTCTCACAGTCGGTAAACTTTTTGCTAAGGTAATAAATGGCGTGTTCTTTTCGGCCAGACTCGTCATGCTGCCCCAACACACACCCCATTGAGTTGTCCAGTACTGTCAAGTATAAGATTAGAGGTCTCCCTTCAACCGGCGGCATAAGAATGGGTGGTTCTTGGAGATACTCTTTGATTCTTTCGAAAGCGGCCTGACATTCATCGTTCCAACGTACTACTTGATCTTTCTTCAGCAGCTTGAAGATTGGTTCACAGGTAGCAGTTAGATGCGAGATGAATCGGGAAATGTAGTTCAAACGTCCTAGAAAGCCTCTGACTTCTTTCTCTGTCTTAGGAGTTGGCATCTCTTGTATGGCTTTCACTTTGGCAGGGTCCACTTGAATGCCTTTGTCGCTTACGACGAAGCCTAGCAATTTTCCAGATCTCACCCCAAAGGTGCACTTGTTTGGGTTCAACCTCAGCTTGTACAACTTCAGACGGTCAAACAACTTCTGTAGATGGTCAAGGTGTTCCTCCTCAGTTTGGGACCTTGCAATCATATCGTCGACGTATACTTCTATCTCGTGATGGATCATGTCATGAAATAAAGTAACCATGGCACGTTGGTAGGTTGCCCCAGCATTTTTCAATCCAAAAGGCATGACCTTGTAGCAAAAGGTGCCCCACTGAGTAACAAAAGTGGTCTTCTCCATGTCTTCAGGAGCCATCTTGATCTGATTATAACCAGAGAAGCCGTGCATGAAGGAGAATACTTTATGCTGAGCAGTGTTGTCAACCAGAACGTCGATATGAGGCAGAGGGAAATCGTCCTTAGGGCTCGCCCTGTTCAAATCCCTGTAATCAACACAGATTCAGACCTTACCATCCTTTTTCGGCACCGGAACCACGTTGGCAACCCACTGAGGGTAAGAAGTCACTGCTAGAAACCCGGTATCAAATTGTTTCATAACTTCAGCTTTGATTTTCTCGGACATTTCTGGACGCATACGGCAGACCTTCTGTTTTACTGGAGGGCATTCTTCCTTGGTAGGCAGGTGATGAACCACAATGTCGGTATCCAATCCAGGCATGTCTTCGTAAGACCAGGCAAAGATTTCCACATAGTCATGCAACATCTAAATCAACCGTTGTTTCACACTGAGCTCTAGATTGGCACCAATCTTGACTTCCTTTCTGTCTGTCTCAGTACCCAGATTTACCGTTTCCACTGGCTCTTCATGTGGCTGAATGGCCCTCTCTTCCTGGAGTAGTAGTCTTGCAAGTTCACCAGGCACTTCGCAATCATCTTCACCTTCGTCTTCGGCTAAGTTGATCGGATTTTTGAAGTCATAACTGGCAGTAGCAGAGTCGTTACCAGTGCGATCCAGAGTGGATTGGAACCTGTATAGGTGAGTGTGTGTAAATATAGCTGTTTTGCAATATATAATAAAGAAAGAAAAGGAGCACAAGATTTTGAAATGCAACAAACGTCCAATGTTTTTATTAATGATATATGAAAATGACACACAAGAGCCCTCACAAATGAAGCCATGGTGCCTCGGGTAAGACACCGAGCCATAAAAGTTTCAAAATATTGTCTGTTCCAAATTCAAAACAAAAGAGTTCATTACTGAGTGACAAAAGTAATAGGTGGGAAGTCTTTGGCAGTCCAGTTGCTTGGTCCACCATCGGTTGTTGGGTAGATCCAGCTGTCGAATTCAGATTCCTCCATGTCGTCTTCAATAGCATTTACTCCCGGGTTGGTGATGAACACATGAGGTCTTCCAATCCTTGCCTTACGAACAGCACTCTGAGCCTCTGCAGTGAAACCCAAACCAAACTTGTCGGTCTTTGGAGTAAAGTCAGGAAGTCGGCCCCAGTTTGCGCACTCACCCTTCTCAATAATAGCCCGAGCATCCCTTAGGGAGGCCATCTTCAACGGAGAATATTCTACAGTCACAGTCTCTGCTGACGCCAGTGTCTGAGGCACCTCTTCAAAGTGTTGAAAGGGGGTCTCAATGAACTCCCCATCCATCTCTATGTACCGGAACGAGTTGAGGTGTCTGACCATATACTCTTCCTCCCCCTGAACTGTCACAATTTTCCCCCTGACCGGGTACTTCAGCTTCTAATGTAGCGTGGAAGTCACAGCTCCAGCCTTGTGGATCCATGGACGACCCAGCAAACAAGAATACACTACAAGAAAATTGGCAGATTGCGACAGGTATTTTTGTAGATTACGACGGTTAAAACCGTCGCAATTTGCTTTCCACGACGGTTGCTTTACCGTCGCAGAAGTGTGTGTCCCCAACCTATTTCGCGACGGTTACAAAAACTGTCGTTCAAGTTTACGACGGGTTTGGAGCTGACATAATCAAGTATTGGTGACTGTTTGATACCGTCGTGACTATCTTTTGAGTTTCTTTTAATTATTGATGGCGACGGTTCGATACTGTCGTGAATATCTTTTGAAATTGATTAAATTGTTTATGGCGACGGTTCGATACTGTCATGACTTTTGTTGATTATTTTTAATTGTTGATTACGACGGTAGTTATCAAAACCAGCTCGTTGTAACCTTTACACATGTTATTACAAATGAAATTAGCAAGTCTGTTATCGATAACAAAAACATAATAACAATTATAATATGAAGAGATTTTTTGTCCTTCTTTCCAAGTAAATTTCTCTATACCTTTCTTATTTCTATTTCCTCTTTTTTTTCTCTTCATTTCTTTTGCTTCTACTAGTTTCTCTCTTCTTTGACCCACAATATATACACTTATTACCTTACAATTTAAAATTTTAGTAAAAATAAAATCCAAATAAAAAAGGCGAATTTATTTACTTAAGTTGTTATGGTCATGTAAGGCGGCTTTCTAAGAAAAAGGGGGGTACTTACGTAAGTTACAAGTCTTATCTTATATATCAGCAGCTTAGCACTAAAAGCAAGAGAGAGAAAATGATAGACTTACAAATTATAATTATTAAGTATAGAATGATCATTTATTTTTCATCCAATTAAGCATACATATGCATGTATAACACCTTTTGTTTTATTTATGGTTTTATGATGAGAAGCAGTGCTAGAACTTGTTATTATTACAAAGAGTGGTTCATTGAGCTTAGCAATTAACAAAGACGTAGTTAACTGTAAGGTGACCCGCCTGGTAGCCTGCTCCATTTGTATCCAGTTGGTTGAAGACATTCACATCCAAATCCAGTCCACCATTAGAGCACTGATCCACTATTCTCATTGTTACCTGAGCACCAGTTGCTGTATTTGTCACCTGCATAATCCATCACCACTATATTATCAATTCTCTTGGACTAACTAGTTACAAATGATGAAGTCCCTGCACATGTCAACAAATAAACTCATTAAGAAAATGCTAGGATATGAAATAAATGGTCGTACACTTAAGCATTTGCCGCAAGAGTCTCTGCCTGTAGGTCCGGCGGGTCCACAAAAGGCAGTCCAACCGTATTGGCTACGCCATGACAATGGCTGGCTAGCATCCCAGGTAGCACAGTAAACACTGGCTGTGTTGTAATCCCAAAAAAAATTTAAAACCAGCACAAGTAGTATGAAACACATAAAAACATCAATGAGATTACAGCAGTAAGTAACAATAGAAATGATAAGAGTACAAAAAGTCATGGATAGACAAATTTTATATGTGAAAATAAGCCTCATTCCTTGATAAAACTGTATGCTTCAATTTAATTTCCAAACAATTAGCAAAGTTTGTGATTCTAAATTTCAGTAGGCGAACACATTTAATAGTCAGAATTTGTATTTGTCCAATATTGGCAAATGCAAGTAAATTAGCTCAAAACGTGACAACACATTTGTCCAATATTTTTCACATTTGCAAATCATTCTAAAAGGCAACACAACACAATCCAGGTGTCACATTTAGCTAAAACTTGATACATAATCATCAATTATCAAGAATAACAAGTAAAATCAAACCTTAGAAATGGTCAATGCTGGGCTCCATTGTTCTTTTAGAATGTCAAGACAGATGCTTCCATTGCTGTTGATGTTTGGGTGGAATACCTTAGTCCTAAATGCAACCTGCAGTATTAAAATAACTTTAGCATGTTTAGACTATTTAACTAAATACATGGTACAAGATATTTACAAAATTGATTAACAGGCAATAAAACAACATTTATAACTTGTGAACAAATTAAACTGGATAACTAACTGTCAACTGTTGAGGAAAGAAGAAAATGAAAGAGAACAATACGATTTGATGAGGAAAGAAGAAAATGAAAGGCAAAATATAATTGAAATGAAAAGTCATCTAACAGCTTCTCTGTTAGTTTTTCCAACGCCAATAGAAGTTTGTGAATTAGTGACAAATAATCAGATTTATAACCAACCAGAACTAATAACCATGTGATGTTTTCTACCTTCCAATACAGCAAAAGCTAGTAAATATCCATATGCTACAACAAAAGACAAATATAAAAGCGTGTTCGAGGGCAAGAGGCACAAGCAGCACAAGCCCAAAATGTGAAGGTCCAAACTTATTTTGAATTGCGGAGTCTAATCGATATTCTTAGGGGAGCAAATATGCAATATATCTATTCATATTTAATGTGCAATACAAGCTTGGCTTCCTTTAACCTGGCGTTTGCATTTATTCAAAAATAACACACTCACTAGAAACAACAACAAAAATGGTCATGGTCGGATTAACAAATCGTACAAAAAAGAAACAATCATGCTACAGAGTACATATAGACAAGATCTGCCTTGAAGCATTTGAAAAACAAACAAATGAACAAATCACAATAAATTATAAACATCATAAAAACAGACAAAACAAACAAGCAACTAACGTAGAAACAAGTAACGGTTCAATTACCTTTGGTGGCTTGAATGGATAATTCGGCAATGGTGTGAATGAATGTTGAGAATCCATGGATGATAGGGATAGAGGTCATACTCACATGAGATATAGAGAGCATATGAATACTCATTTGGTAACATAATGAAAAGTTTATTGAAAAGATAATGAAATGTGTACATTGTGACCTAATTTATATACTCAATTGTGTACCTAATTGAGTAACTAACAATTAGCTAATTCCTAACTAACTAGCTAAAAGGACTATTTTAACAGCCTCCCTCGAGCTGGTAGGGATGTGAATCACAACCAACTTGAATTACATGAAGCAATCACTAAAATACACAATGGACCTGGAAACATACAAAAAATCAGTACAATAAAGGTGCTTTAAATCTTCTGCTTTTCACCCTCACAATATTGTTTCACCATGAAAGGCTTCCCCGCTATATTGTGATGCTCCAAAAACATAACCATGGCAGGGATAACCCAATATGTAGAAATGTCGAAGAGCTTTGTTCATTAAACATGTAATATTGTTGCACGTGAATTTCTTGATGTACCACACTAATTAAATCCATGACAGAAAACTTGAATTGAAATTGAAATTTCTAAGCAATAATCTTGTTCATGCATGAACGACTAGAAACCACCAACTACTTCATCCTGAACAACTCATTAACGGAAAAGAGGATGCAGCTAACAACTTTGCTCGTGGACACAATACCATTGGAAAAGAAACTGTCAATGTATGCTTGGGCCGTATCAGAAAGTTTGTAAATAATTATACTGGTCTCCAAGGCTTTCTAGTTTTCAATATTGTAGGCGGAGGCACTGGTTTTGGTCTTGGTTCCCTTCTTCCGAAACATCTTTTAGTCGATTATGGCGAGAAATCCAAGCCTAGATTCATTTTTTATCTTTCCCCTCAAGTTTCAACCTCTGTTGTTGATCCTTACAATAACATCCTCTCTACTCATTCCCTTCTTGAACATACTGATGTTACGGGACTCCAATCTTCAACTAGGAATTTTAACAAACACCTTGACACCAATGGCAAAAGACACCAGCGTCAACGTGCTACTGGACTCCAATATTCAACTACGCATTTTCACAAACACCTTGACACTAATGGAAAAAGACACCACCGTTAGCCTCTACAATAACACCATCGCAATCACTGATCTAAAGCTCCATCATCTAATGTCAAAGCTCCGACGGGATCAAAAATTGTGATCTAAACAGTAGGATGATCGAAGACTTTAACTTGCATATTAGTGAGAAACATCAAAACACCCCCGGGATCAAACACGGTGATGAAGTCATAGTGGTGATTCAAATACCCAAAATTATTTTCATTTGAGAGTGAAAGAATCAAAATAGGAGATTTCGTTACCTCCTTTGTGATGACGAGTTTGTGACTTGCTGATTCCAATCTTGATGACATTGAATCTTGTGCGATGAAGACCCTTGCGGAACGATTAGTAGCAGAAAAGGAGATTTTTAAAACCTAACATCAATTCAATATATTCAAACTCAAAATCAATCATCACAAAGAGCTCAACCATAAGATTCAAGTGAATCTCCAATGCTGAAATCAATGGCAGAGAATGAGAGAGATGAGAACAATGCAAAAAGTGATACATAAAACTTACTGTGTTTGAAGAGATGAACGCAGAGGATGTTAAACTGCTTGCTGTGCGTTTTTTGGTGTGAAGATGAGCGGTTTGAAGAGATTCCTTTCGGTGTTAAGGGGTTTCTTTCGGTGTGAAGAAGAACGGCATGAACGGCACCGTGAGTAGAAAAAGTGAATGCAGGAGTAGAAAGTGAATTGATGTTTTATGTATTTTAAGAGCTTTTTAACTTTTTTACAGCGACGGGTGTTTTACCGTCGTGCCCATGAGAATTTTTAAAGGTTTTGGGTGCGACGGTTGTTTTACCATCGTGAAATGAATTTTAGGACGGATAATTTTACCGTCGTGAAAGGTTTAAGGGTGCGACGGGTGCTTTACCGTCGTGATATGCCTTTTAGGATGGTTAATTTTACCGTCGTGACTAGTTGTTGGTGAAAAATCAATGTTAAAAGTGTTAAATGGGGGCCGACGGTTGTTTTACCGTCGTAATAATAATATTATGATGGTTAATTATACCATCGCAAAATAAATATTAGGGACGGTTGGTGTCAACTGTCGTAAACACTGTCTCTATATGTCAATTACGACAGTTATCACATAACTGTCGCAATTTTTGTGTCGTTAAACACTAATTTTCTTGTAGTGATAGGATGGTCGAATGTCCATCACATAGAAAGTAGAATCAAAAACTTGAGAACCAACCCTGATCGGAATGTCAACTTCCCCATGTACCATCCTTTTCGAGCCGTCAAAGGCCCGGACAACAATGTTACTAGGCTTGAGCTCTAAACCCTCACAATCCAACCTGTCTAGGGCCTTCTTGGGTAATACGTTCAATGAAGAACCGGTGTCTACCAACACATGGGCAAGAGTAGTGCCTCTGCATTCAATGGAGACATGCAGGGCATCTTAATGGTTCTTTCCTTTGGCAGTCATATCGGCGTCAGAGAAGCCCAACCCATTATCGGCAGTCAAGTTGGCCGCACAATCGGTGAATTGATCAGCAGACGTTTCTTGTGGCACATGGGCTGTCTTCAGGAAGGAAATCAGGGCCTTGGCATGGGCCTCTGAACACAACAATAGTGATAGCATAGAAATTTTAGAGGGGGTGTGCCCCAGCTGCTCAACTACATTGAAATCACTCTTCTTAATGATCTTGAGAATCTCTTCCATCTCTTGCTGGGAAGCTTCGACAGTGGTTGTCTTTGGTGCCTCTGTCAGGGCAGGCAAATCAGTAGCAATCCCTTTGCCCCGAGCGTCAGATGACTCGGCAGCAGGGGTAGAAACAGGAACTTGATCAGAAAGGGGAGCAGGCACACTTGCAGGTGTGATGATAAGAGGTCTCTGAATAGCTGGTGGCGCAATATCAGGCGAGAAGAGCCTACCACTACGAGTGACTTTGGCAGGCCCGGTGATGTTGCTGACGCCGGTACTAGTATCGAACTTTTGTTTAACTCCAAGCACATAAACATCTTCCCCATAGTGCCAAGGGACAGCTTTGTCAGATGTATAAGGGAGAGGCCCCGGAACAATGATGATGATAGGAGCAATCTTCTGAGTAGACATGATTTTGACAGGCTTTTTGAGGGAGCCTTAGGAGGGTTGTTGAAAATAGTAACAATGGACACTTCTTCAGCAGGGACAGCAGGAATAACAACCTTCTCGAACAAGATCTCTTTGTTATCCATCAGGGTTTGGATACCTGATTTCAGCAAAGGACAACCAACAGGTGAAACAGAACATAAATGGGAACCTTTACTGCATCCCGGAAATAAACCGGCTAGCAACAGTTCCTCTTGACAGTCAACAATGGAGTAACAATATCATCCACGGAGGCCACATACAGGTCTTCTTCCACAGCATTCACTCCATGCTGGGGCATGAGAGCAGTCACAACATTGGGCCTTTCGGGCGCCTCAAACTGTATTTCTTTAGCATCAATAAGGTCCTGAATCTTGTTCCTCAGAGCCCAACAATCGTCCGTAGTATGCCCTGGGCTGTCAGAGTGATAGGCGCAGCGGGCGTTGGGATTGTACTTCGGAGATGTTGTGTTTACCACCTTCAGAGCTTCCTTGACAGTTACCAGATTGGTCGACAGTAGTTGCGGCAATATCTGAGACAGGGTCATATTGAGCCGAGTGTACTGCCTTTTGGGTTCTCACCCCTTGGTTGGTTATACTGCTGAGGAGCAGCAGCAGGCTTTG